ACACACACACACACACACACACACACACACACACACACACACACACACACACACACACACAAAAAGCTATGTGTGATTTTTCAGGTCCAACCATGGCCAATTACAAAGGCTTTGCCTGGCAGGCCTCACAGGGGAAAACTGCCCTCTCCACACCAGACTTGGTGCACAGCCAATGCACTGCAGTTTCCAAGGGGAGTTGCGGTCAAGGACTCTGGCCCCTTTGACCTGTCATGCTCTTCACATATTTGCCTTCCTAACCCTGGTGCCTTCGTTCCTAGATCTCCTTATCTGAGGCCTTCAGCAGGGGTCTTCAGGTGCGTCTACCAAGGCCTCCTTATGGGGGTTGGGGAACAGAAGGGGGAAACCGTAAAGATACTTTTCCCCACTCTGACTCAGTACCCAATATTTTTCCCTAGCCCTGCCCCACTTCCCCTGACCCCCAGGTCCATAAAACTACAAGAGCCTTATGTCTGGGACTCCCTGGTCAGAGATGACCCCCACATCTGCACCAATCCACCTGACCTTCCACTGGTGTGCCATACCATGGGGGAAAATGGAATGTGGGAATCAGTGCTGTCTCCTGCTTATACCATCAAGTAAGTGATTAAAAGCCTCATGCTTTCATTTTTGGCTTGTTGCTTTAATGGCTACTCCGACATTTGGCAGCTCAGCTGAGCTTCTGACACTGGGCTATTAGCTAAGAATGGAAGCATAAGATAAATGGAAGTGTATGCTCTGGGTGAGGGATAAAAGGACATTTAGTATCCTCTTCATCCTAATTTTCTTGAAAGTTATAGCCTAAATAGTACATATTTTTAATTATCTTTTATCAAGATGTCCAACAAAAATGATAGAAGATTTAAGCTAATTTAAACACTGCTTAGAATTACCCCCATTAAGTGAATAAGTCAATTACTCAAGTAATCTTAGAGGAAAAACCATATTTTAGCTCCAGTAATTGGATAATTCCGATGAAAAGGCAGAAGTCTGAACTACTCTAATGTTCTAAATGTGATGCTTTACTGTGTAATACAGATGCTGTTTGAATAAATCTTATGCCATACACACTTGACATGCCACAGATGAGTTAAAACAATAGTAACGTAACATTCCAGTGATAACTTAAAATTTCCAGAACTTAATAATTACAATAATAGCTTTGTAAGTTGTCAGAGACTCACTTGCCATTGGAAAAGGCATATGCTCCTGGCCAAAGGTTGGATCTAAGAACAGCAACAGCATATTGAGGAATGAGATGTGAGGACAGCCGTGTTGTCCAAGGTGGTATATTCTGGATCTCTGTCAACCAAACAGAAATTCAAAAACTTAACTCCTAAATAGACAAGGATATACTGTGTAACCAGGAAGCTATTTTTATGTCTTAAAACACACGCTTGACATAGAAAGAAAAGTTAAAGCAACAACAGCTTAACATAAAATCAGGAGGGTATTTTATGAACATGTGGAACAATGAAATTTGAATATTGATATATATACTATAACTATGTTGTGTGTTTATGGTCTGAAGAATGACAAGACAAGAATGATACACAAGATAACTGTCAGCATTTCAAGTAATAGCTACAGCCGACTTATGTTTCCTCCCTGCATCACACTCCTTCAACCTGTCAGAGAAAGTTGGTGGTGTGGCTGGCTATATTCTTTACTCTCCGCCATATACTACAGTGTGTGTATTTGTGTGTGTGTATGTGTGGATATGTGTGTGTGTGTGTGTATATATATATGCATAGTATACATACATATATATGTATATAATATACTATATACAATATAGTGTACATTATGTATATACTATGTATATATATGTATAGTATATTATATAGTTTGTATAAAATTACCTAAATCTTCAGAGACTGGTGTCAAGAGAGGAGGCCCTACTTCCTGTTCTATGTAGTCAGGCTCTTCTCCTTTTTCTTCTTCTTCTTTTTCTTCATCTTCTTCTTCTTCTTCTTCTTCACTTTTTTGTATGGGGTTGAACCAATTACAGCGACCCTGGGTGTGAGTATTGCAAGATTTAGTAGTTTAATGAGGACCTTAAAATATCAGAATATTCATTTGGATTGAAGCAATTGCACTAAGTCCCACTGTGTGGGAATTCAATCATTCATTCAACATACATTTGCCAAGTGCTATTTTGATCTAGGTTATTTCAAGCAAAAGATTGTACTATTTATTTCAAGAATTTGCCAACTTCTTGAAGTTACAGAACATTTATATTTTACAATTAGCAGAACCTTAGTGAAAAAGGTAATAGCATTTACTAATTTGTAATAAATAACTTATATGAAAGAGGTAAGGTGCTATTATTACTAACAAAAGTTAAAATGTGATAAGATTAGGTATGTAGTTTGGGGTCATAATTTCTCATTTAACTCTGATCTAGAGATATACAATAATATCTCTTATGTAGATCAAAGTATAATGCAGATTTTCTACCTGCTGATGAGCTGTATAGCAGAATGACTAAGAGGATGGACTCTGCATCCATTCTGCCCATTGACATCTGACCCTGTTGCTTATTAGCTATATTCCCTTTGCCACATTTCCTAAACTCTCTGCCTCAGTTTCCTCATCTGTAAAACAAGGATAATATTAGTCTTTCATACAGTTGTGAGGATTAAATGAGATAATACATATAAAGTGCTATTAAGAACCTGGCAGAATAGGTGCTTTATAACTGCTATATAGCACTATTTGCTTGTTTTTCTTGTAATTTTGTATTGTTCCTGGCATAAAAGCTCCATGTACTCTAAATAGAATAAAAGAACCGTTCCCAAAATTAACGCACCCATCTATATTCAACATATAAAAAATAATTTCACGACACACATAAGTCTAAATCCTTACATAACTTGTTAAATACTCCATAGAAATATTTATTTTACTTCCATTTGGAAATAAAAATCTGTTTGAAGATCTCGGGTTTATACTACTTGCAATTATATAGTACTCTGTGTTTTTACTTGATTTTTTAATGGTCTCTTTGTCTAGAGTCTGAAGGCCTTCATTTTGTATATATGTGTGCATTGTAGACAGAATTTAAGAAATATTTGCTGATTAACTGATAGATTGAGAACAGCAAAGCCCCTACCTGAGGGAGAATATGTTGCACATGATGAACCCAATTGGATAGGGATTCCACTAGATCAATCACTCGAACGCCTTCAAAATCAGGGTTTTCTTCAAAGCTATCTCTCCCACCTTCCACCTCTTCCTCTTCCTCTCCTTCCTCTTCACCGAACTGATAGAATCCTAGAGGGCTGACATGGGTCCCTGCTGAAATTCTGGCTATTTGTGCTCGTAAGTAATTGCTCTCATTTCCTGGGAAAGGTGGGTAGCTTACAATGGGAGTATCTAATCGCCCAGTGAAAAATTTCTTGATTTTTCTTGCAATAACAATTTGTGCAGGCGTAACCGATGGTAACTTCACCCACGGCCTTCCTGGTTCATTGCAAACAAAATAGACATATTTGTTGGCACCTGTTCTACTTTCTTCTTTTGGAATAGCCTGTGGGGCCTTGTAAAAGGACTTTGGTAATTCATCTTCATCAGCGTCACTATTCCCATTGTCCCTCTCCTCAGTTACATCTTCCTCTTCTAGCTCCTCTTCATCTTCTCCCTCACGAAATTCCACTTCAGCTACAATATAATTCATTTCCAGACCTAAGATCTTGCCCCAGAAACGGCATCTTTGGATTGGGTGAGTGTCAGTAAGCTGCTTGAGGGCAAGAAATATGCGATAAGTCTCATCAGTGCCCAAACCAACTCCAGCTTGTTCAAAATAAAAAGCTGACTCCATGACATTTGGAAGAGAGATTTCTGCCTGGGAATACAAATGCTGTGGTTAACATTTTATCTGTAAGAGAACTGCTTACTTCCCTTTTCCTTTTTAAACATCTTCATATTAGCTCTACTTTCTCCACCACTTCTTTGACATTTCTTTCAAGATTTAGATCAAACTCTGATAGTTCCTGAATTTCAATTCTTCTTTCTTACTTACAAATGTAGCTTCTACTATTGTGTCTTATACTCATCAATATATTATAATAGTTATCTTGTTGTATGTGTGTGTCTTAGGCAGAAATAATTTAATAGCCACTATGAATAACAAAAATTCAACATCCCCTTTTCATACAAAATATTTAAATGGCCCCTTTACTATCCTAAAATCATAAAATGTAGTATAACTAACACATATATTTAGAAAAAATATGTTTATGTATGTTTATATATATTACTATATTTTTTCTAAATAAATATTTTTAGATACATATGGTAGTATATAGGGTAAATAAAAATCAATATGGTACCCTATATATAGGATAATACTAGGATAACTAAAAGGAACGTATAATAAAATAATTGCTCAGGCATGTCTACATTTGAAGACATAATTTAGTCAGATGTTTGCCTTGATTTATAATAATTTTGGATTTAAAATAAGGAAGAAAATCAGAAATCATTCCATGAAAGAAATACAGAAAAATGAAAAAGTGGAGTCTTAAGTGCACTCTAGAAAAACATTTGTAAGAAAGTAGAAAATAACCTTATCTGAGGTAGGGATCACTTGCAGTTTATAGACAAATTTTAGACCTTCAAGATGGACAAATTGAGAGCACTTAGCTATTCTTACAAATGATCTGCTTTTGCTTGTATTGTAATTTTAGTGTTAAAATAAGGATAATGACTTTTATCAAGCTTCATCTCTATGATGTAGGATTGTAAGACTCTTTCCATGGCATCTATTGTGCCGCCCACTCTTGATCCTACTCTGTAACAATTTCTTCTTAGTGTCTAATTAGTTCCTTTTTCTTAACTGAGCCCTAAATATTGGTGTCCTCAAAATTTTCATCATCTCATCACTCAGGACTTTATGTTTGGAAGATTTCTCCTGCACCACCTCAAGTGATATGTGGTTGTTTAAAATCCACCTCTTACTCTGATTTTCTCCTATGTTCTGCACCCATGTTTCTAGCCATCTGTGAGAAATTTCTATCTGAATAGTCTACATATACATCAAGTTAAGATTGAATTAATATTTCTTTCCAAGTCTTCCCTTTTTTTCTACGTACCATGTCATCGTCAGTGACATTACCATTCACTCAGTTTCTCAAACTAGAAAATTTAGTCATCCTTGCTTCCTCTGACTCTCTTGACTTTCATATTTAATTAGAGTCGTATTGATTCTACCATCTAAAAAGCTATTGGCATTATCCCCTCTTCTTTAACTCATTTCTATCATACTATTCTCCCCCAGTTTGTCCTGTCACAGGAGGCTTCTGATGCCCTCCTCTTTGCCTCTGTTCTAACCTTTCTTCTTTCATTCTCCTCCACGTCACTATCAGTTATCTTTCTAAACCAAAAGTCAGACCATGCTATTCTCTATTAAAAGCTTCTGCTGACTTTCCATTGTACACAAGGAAGAAATTTCTTGTCAATGCACAAAGAGCATCTGGCCTTAGGTACCTTGTTTGCTTCATTTCCTTTACTCAATTCTCAAACTCATGCTTCACTTTCCCAAATATTAAATAATGTTTCCTGACTTTTTATTGTTCTTTTTGCCCAGACTTTTATTCCTTATAGTCTTTACCTGGTGAACTTCTATGTATTTTTCATGACCCAAAAGAGATAGCACGTCCACTACAGAGCCTTGCCCAGTTCCCAGTAGCAGAGGTAGTTGCTCCATTCTGTCTCCTAGGTTGTCAAAACAATATAATAATAATTGCTACTATTTATTAAGTTCCTAGTATGTGTCAGACCCTTTATATATAGTACTTCTACTCCTTAAGTTGTTGCCATGTGATTATCCCTGAGGCTTGGAGAGGTTTACTCACTTCAAGTCACACAGTGAGTAAGTGATTGAGCTAGGATTCTGTTTTTTTCACCAAGGGAGGCTATCTCTGTTATTGTGCTAATCAAATAGCTTTACAGTCTCTTTTACCTCTTTCACTAGATTGTGAGCGACTTAAAGTCAGAAAAGTCTTTTTCATTTGTATATCTCAGTACCTGGTATGCAGTAAGCAGTCACAATATTTGTGAATTAATGAGGGAGTGAATAAATGAATGCTGAAGACTAAGAACAGGAATTCTGGTGTGGCCAAAGATAGGAATAGAAACCTGAACATTCTATACATATGAGTCTGGGACAGAGTCAGTTACACACGTCATGTTTCAATGCTTCCAAGACCTGCCTGTCTTCCTTTTCCTGCATCTTTCTACTCTCTGAAGTATAGCTTTTGATCTTCATCTGATAACTCCATCCTTCCTGGCTCTAAAACCATTCCTATTCTTTATTAGAAAGAATTAATGGAATCTGGGTAAGGGGCTCAGGTTCCAGGATCAAAACACCTTATTTGTGTTCTCACCCCACACCCTAGTTTTAGTACACAGATCCCAGCCTTGTAACGCTCTACCTATAGAGAGCCCAATGTCCCATTCTCATACTGGAGTTCGACTTTTCTATGAAAACTCCTCCATGAGAGTGTCTGCCTATCTGCTTGATCCCCACATGCTAATTGCCCCTGACTCGTCATCACTGTATGTGGCCATATAACCAAATGTTTGGAGTAAGATATTTTCAGAAAAGGGCAGTCGATGTCAACTCCTTGACACTTATCACCTGTTCCTTCTGAGTACCCTGGATCCCACTGTGTCAGGCTGAGTCTCCCCACAAAGCTTGCTGAGCCCTAGAGAGAGGACTGACTTTCTAGATCCCTACCCCTCCTATCTTTTCCCTGACTGAACTCTCCACCCTTTTCTGAAAATATCTTATTCAAAACATCAAATTTGCGAGTATATAGACAGATTTTAAATAGTCTAGTATTAACAGAACATGGCAGCTCAGTAGATGTATAGTATAAATTACTCAGTGGTATATAAATTGCAAGCATACAGGCATTTAGGAAACAATACTGGATACTATTTTTGAAATATTTGGAGCTAAAAATTTCTGTCATACAACGAATTTTATTATTCTAATGATATCTTCTGATCTCTGTCACCAACTTTCTCTGTAAATATTTTTAACAATTTATCTATAGAGATTCAAAGAAATATTTTATCCCTCTCCTCTTATATTATGTCCCTTTGACATAATATGCATAATATATAATAGAGGAAGTTGCCTTGGAAGAGAATGCAAATGACATTAGAGGTACTTCTAATTTTTCTAGTAAATTAAAGGAAAAAATATACAACTTGTTTTAAAGCCTAATTTTTAATTATCTGACATTAACTCATTCATTCAACAAATATTTAACAAGAAGCAGCTATAGGCCCAGATCTGTACCTGACACTTTGGAGAATATAAAAGATGGAGAAGTGATTTTCTCTGATATCAAGAAGCTCAACCTCACAAACATATAACAAAGAGCTAATTCTGTGAAATATTAAAGCACAATGTGAAAAAATAAGAAACTCTAAACAAGGAAATGAGTGGTGTGAAATGAGGTTACAAATCCTGTTTAGAAAGCTATAAAAGACAATTGGTTGAATTTAAAGCCACACCCCACTCACCTCAAATAAAACCCTAAGATTGAACTATTCAAATTTATAACAGTGACTTACTATTTCATCTTCTAGTTCTTGGTCAGCTCCTTCCAAATTTCCTTGGAGAAAAAGAGCCTTTTGCTTCTCTGCTATTTCATATATTGGAAGCATTTCACATTCATCTTGGAGTGTATCTAATTTTTTGCTAAAATGTGCCATCTTCACATCTTGGCTAATATTTTCAATGATATCCACAGCATTTTCGGGATGCTCATCTAAGATCTTGCTCAGCATATTAGAAAGATGATCATATCTACCCGAAAAGAGAAAATTCCAGATAATATCCATGTCAAAAGCATTTGAAAAAACATTTCATGCAAACTCAGTTAGTTGGCTTTTAGGAAACTTTAACAGCTCAAAGCCTTCAGAAATTGTAATTGGATACACACAGTAACTTTCACTACTGCCAGAAAGAATCTATCCTAGAATTTTCTTTAGGAAATGCCTCCAATATGAATATTTAACTTATTAAAGAAAAACATATTACAGCAAGATAAGTCTTCTGCATCAGGTACATTTTCACATTTTATTTGAGATTGAATTCTCTTGGTTAGATATTTAAAAGTGATTAACCTTTTGATTCTTTGACCTTAACTTCTATTCCATCCCCCTTCCCCTACCCTCACCAAATCCAATTTTATTTCTAAATCCTGTTGACTCTTTTAAGATATGTTCTTTTCCTTTTCATTTCCTAGGCTAATTATGTACTTCAGTGTTTTTAGACCTATAAGAAATACATTTCATGTTGCAACCCACACCCACACACAACTGAAAGAAAAGTGTCATCAAATATTACCCACTTTCATTAAACTGTGATACACTCTAATATTTTTGTTCTATTCTATTAAAAACACTGTCCCTTGCTTTTTATTTCATAACTGAATTAGTCAAACTGCCTCTAACCTCTCGTTAATTCATTACATTTTATACATAATTGCTAGGGTTGCTTTTTCAAATATCAGATTTAGAATATGAATTTACTATTTAAGAGCCAAAAATGTCTGTCAAAGTGCTGTTAGGTTAAATAGAAGCTCCTTTGTCCAGTATGGCGACTTGGATCAATTTCCTCTCCAGTGGATAAGCATTGTATCTCTCCAATTTCATTTCTAATAATTAGTTCAATTAGAATCTACTAAAAATCACTTTCATACGGTTGCTAAGTCCTACCCAAGAGCCTTTGCTTGCTGTGTCCCATATACATCATTTCTCTCAAGAAATAATTTAAAACGCACTTCATCCTCAAAGCCTTCCACTCAAGTCATTCCTGAAAACCATTCTTCCTCGGTTTAGAGAAAGCTTTTTTGAGATCAATGATATGTTGCCATGTAATTGTGTACATTATATATTTCCCATTCAGCAACTGCATTAGGTTCTCATATGGCCCAAATTAGGTTTTTGTTTTTGTTTGTTTGTTTGTTGGTATTTTAATCTTTCTCTTCCCATTATCATAGTGAAACAAAATAGATGCTCAATAATTGCCTACTTTCTGTTAATTGACCCCAGGTATTATGTTTTGTTTTTTCTTTAATATCTGGATTTATCTAATGGATCTTAGGAATGTCAAAGAAAAATATCTAGATTATATGGACAATTAATGTGAAGGGCAGTTTAAAAATATTATATATGGAAAATATTTCATTCTTTCCCAAAATATTGCTATTCTTGTAAATGAGCAGAAATGTTATGACTAGCAGTTTGTTTAAAACTTCTTCAAGCTTCCTTAATATCCGTTCAGCGTAGAAACTCAAGGAGAAGCCTTCAGGCTAAAAATATTGTAGCTTACTAGGCACTAGCTGGGGTTGTAACTGGAGTCTTTGATTTGCTCAAATAGGGGCCATGTATGCCATCAAATCAAGAACTCTAAGTCCAAATTTTTATTTTATTTTTCAGGTTTTACTATAATGTCTATATATGCTTTATTCATATTTCTTCAGGCAAGATATTGCATCAATGTTTTTTAAGATGTCCACACCTGAAAATTCCTTTGTGTCCAATTATGAAATATGTTCATTAGATTTTAATTCATAATTATAGCTTTTTCAATTTGGAGTATTAATAATTTGTTTTAATAGAATGACAGAAAAGGAGGAAGCATTTCTTTCCTGTAGGCTATTTATTCAACAACGTAAAAACCAATGTCAGATCCTGTATTTTAATCAAAGATTGTTTTAATTGCAACAACAAAAAAAGTAGCTTTCATGTCTGTCAAATAAGATCTGCACATAAGAGATGGAGTTAAAGTCATTCTTTACTAAGCAGTTTTTTTTTTTTTTTGTGAGGGAGATTAGCCTTGAGCTAACATCCGGTGCCAATCCTCCTCTTTTTCGCTGAGGAAGATTGGCCCTGGGCTAACATCGGTGCCCATCTTCCTCTATTTTATACAGGACGCCGCCACAGCATGGCTTGACTATTGGTGCGTCTGTGCGCGCCCGGGATCCGAACCTGCGAACCCTGGGCCACTGAAGCAGAGTGCGCCCACTTAACCGCTATGCCACCGGGCCGGCCCTTTTACTAAGCAGTTTTTAACTGCAGGCTCTAAAGTACTTAGACGATAATAGTGAATATTATAGTAGATATTCATTTATTACCTCAGAGACTTAGCATTTGGAAAAAAAATAAAATTTAGATATTTAATATCAGTTATAAAATAATTCAATAAAGGACATTTTCCCATTTTTATGTTTTTGTATTCAGTTTTAAATTGTTAATGAACTCTCATTTATAAGGAGCTCTTTTGGAATTTTAACAAAGTTTGTTAAATTTATGCTTGTCATTTAATGCAGGGCATTATGACAAGAAATTTATATCAGAAATTCAAGTAGAATCCACTACTGAGTAGCAGATCACATCCTTAAGCTTAAGTAAGTTGTAGTTTAAAACAGTAATTTGTAGGTAATATTTTAAATTGTCAATCTCAGGTTTTGTGCAATATTTCTCACATTAAATATTGTTTTTTTCATTTTTCAAATCTTAAAATTATAGTGACCAATTCTCCTGGTTTGCCCAGGACTGAGGGGTTTCTCAGGATGCAGAACTTTCAGTGTTCAAATCAGGACAGGGGAATAACTGTAATAGTTTGTCATCCCAGCACTGGCCTGGGTGGGAACGCAAAACCAAGCCATACAAGGTCTAGAATGCTTAGATGAGAGCCACGTGCTCCCTATCACTGGTAGACAATTACTTTTTACCAACATCTTAGAGAAATGCTTAGACTTCACTATCTTTACGGTCTCTTTCAAAACCAAGATTCCATAATTCCTAGGTTTTATATCTATGTGCTAAGGGTTTTTAAAGAAGCTAGAATCCCCACCAATCACCTATTTTGAGTCCTGTAATACAAAGAGTTATTAAGTCAGTCTTTCTTACTAATACAGACTTTTCAAATATATTTCCATTCACCCACAGAAACACAGTCTCACACAGAGATACTCACACCCCCTTTTCTTTGCCAAACTTTTTCTCTCTCTCTTTTCTTTTCCTCCAAGACTTACGTATTTAAGCCCGACTTGCTACTGGTCTTCAGTAGGTAAGCCTTAGCATTCTGAATGGCAATCTCAAGCATGCTGGGGGTCACTTCAGAAGCCCCAGGTTCAGGCTGATCCAGATCAGCGTTGCTGTTTGAGTCTTCCTCCCGAAAAATGTCAAATCTCGGCTCTTTTCGTTTAGAGTTTTTATGGCTCACATCCTTTGGTCCATGCACGTGGTGTTTGGTTTGCTGAGACTGTTGGAAGGTGTTTCCCTCTGATTGACATGTTTGATGAGGAGTTAATTCTCCTTTATCAGATGATTGTTCCAAATGGCCAGAGTGAACTGTCCCAGCTTCAGGAATCACATTAGTGGTCGTGTCTGACTGCCATGGTGAGCCAATGTCCTGTCTGGCCAGAGCCGGGAGAGAAGGAGTGGAAAAGGATTCCTGAGGAAAGGAAGGTGGGGATGGTGTACCTGGTCCTGTGAGGTCAGCCAGAGCTGTGCTAGCTCTAGAGTGGGGGCTTTGAGGAGGGCTGCTTCTGGGCTGTGATCCAGTTTCTGGCCTCTGCTCTGATTCCCGGGGCTCAGATAACCCAGGCTCAGGATCTTGGGAAGAAGCTGCCATTTCCTGCCATGGCTGCCCTGTTTCCTCAGGTTCTTCATTTTCTTTTTCTTGCTTCAGGGAGATCAAGTCTTCCATGGAAGTAGTCAAAAAAAGAAACAAAGTTCTGGATGAAGGAGGCGTGCAGATATGGAAGGAGGCAACGCAAGGCAGGCGCTTTGCTGAGATCTGCTAAGGGATTTCTGTGTCCTAGCTGTTCTGCAAGTTGCAGCGTCCTCTCTCCATAGCAACCCCAGGCAAGTTTCCTCTCAGAGAAACTAGGCACAACGGTTACCAGGATTCTAGGGAGGAGACCAAGAAAGATGAAAATCCTGGATCTGTGATTTGGTGGAGCCTCTGCTCCTCTTCCTAGCTCAGCCAATCCGACCTGCAGTTGACCAGTCTTGGTTGAAACCTGAGAACTAACTGGTCGGTGCGCGAGCGCAAAGGAGCAGGAGCTGTGACCCTGCACCGGAGGAGCTGATAGTTTGAGTCAGGTTGCGGTGAAGAGCGAGTTGTGCATTAGCGGAGAGATAATGCATTTACAGAGCGTGTGTGTGTGCGTGTGTGTGTGTATGTGTGTGTGTGTGTGCGCGCGCGCGCGTGTGAAAGGGAGGGGGAAAGGGAGAGGGAGGGAGGGAGAGAGGGAAAGACCTTGGGAATCTTGAGGTGCAGATGACAATGAGACTCCAGTGTGCAGACCAGAAAAGTCCAAGATTCACGCTTAGAGGCAAAGATGTCTCATCTGCGCCAACCAAACTCGGGAGACTTTTGGAGAATAAATAACGAAGTCCTGATTTTTGCTTTTCCTCCTCATATAGAATAGATAAGTAAGCAGAATAGTACCTTCAAGGAGAAGGCAACACAAAAGGTTACCCTATATAGACAGTTCATGTGTTAACTGTTTTCTAATAATTGAAATTCAAATTAACTTTAAAACTACATTGGCATAATATAATCTTTATTTGATAATATAAATGTGAATTCATAATTTTGCAATATTTAACGTCATGGCTATGACTATTAATTCACATTATTCAGTCTCCACCATGAAGAAGGTATAGAGGATGGGACTATATCTGGTCTTGACTATAAACTGTAAATTAATTGAGGGCTTTAATGTTAATTTGTTCTGTATCTCTTTCTTTTTTTAAATAAACCAACTAATACTTGGTATTTGGCACTTTACATTGATACGACTTCCAATTAGCAAGATGTTGGTTATAAATTCTAACTTCATGGAAGAACACAACACTTACCTCCCCTCACCCCCAATTTGGTAGGAGAATCACAGAACCCTTAAGTAATTTGATAAAAGCTGTGGACCTTTACTCTTCCCCAAATGCACATGTGTGCACGCACACAAAATGTTGCATATAATTTCTGCTGGTTCAAGGGCTCCTTGAAGTCAGATTCCCCAGATTAGAACACTTGGAATAGACCCAAAAACGAGATGAAAGATAAACTAGAATTATAAATTGGGGATTTTTTGTAATTGGTGCAAGGGTTGAAGGGGTTAGCATTTTTTCCCTTCATGGTTCTTTTCTCTCCTCCCTTGCAGCTGGCATGATAAGATGGAGGCTTTTTTCTTGGACAGACAAACCAGAGCAGGGTGGTAGCGCCAGGAGAAAGGAAGGATGAATGAACAGACTTAGTGCTTGCTTCTCTCTCCACTTTAGAAGAGAAGAGCAACTGAAAACAAAAGCCTAAGAAAATGTCTATTATTATTCCTGCTCCATTTTCAGCCCAAAGCTCTATCTAGACTTGACTCTAGTAATCCTAATGTTGCTTCTCATTGTTTGTAGAATAATGGCCAGAGCTCTTACCCTACTTATTTTGCCAACTTCATCTTGAGCCATTCTCCCCTGTCTTTCTGCAATCTAGTCATCCTGATTTTTCTTTCATTTACTCAAATGTTCCATGTTTCTTCCTACCTTAGAGCAATTGCTCATTTCCTCTGCCTGAAATGTTTTCCTCTGTTCTTTCACTTTGTTCTTTTCCTTAGGAAAACCTTCCCTGATCCCACAGACAATCGCAATTTCCCTTATTATGTGCAGTCATAATACCCTGTATTTTCATTCTTAGCATCGATCACAATTTGTCATTATAATGAACTGTAAGTGAGTTTTACCTCCAGAAGCCCCACTAGGCTCTCACTGTGAAGATCAGAGAAAAAGACCTTCCTGCTTTTGGCAGGGGAGGAGGAAAAGTAACCATTAAAAAAAACTCCCAGAGTTCTCTGTTCTCCTTAACAAATCCGGCCCTCAAGGGAAATTTACCAGAGCATAATCAATTTTTTCTAGAGTTGGTTTAGGGTTTTACTAAAGCCTAACTGACCTGAAGGGAGATACCAAAATCTAGTCCTCTTTAGCTTTCCTGTACCACCTAAGTTTGGAGAGGGGGAAGGAAGCTGAGAAGCACTTGTGAAGGTTACACCCCAGAAACACAAATTTAGAAAAGACTGAGATCTAATCACAGGATTATGAAATGCTCTCCCTCCTCCCACACCTTACCACAACATCAACAGGGCTCCTGTATCATAACAGGAGATTAGAGCTGGAAGAACTGCAAACCTGAGACCCTATTTAATAAGGAGTCTCTAGGGAAACCCAAAGACAGCAGAGGACACAAAAATAAGGACACTAGAGGAAATTTTAGCCTTTAAAACCACAGCGGCAGCAAACAGTAAACACAGCCTAACTCCTAGCAAGATAAATATAATACCTCATACTAAAGCTCTATCTATCTCAGTTCCTTCTACTTGATACATCATTCCAGCTTTCAACAAAAAATTACACTGCATTCCAGAAGACAATGAACTCAGTCTGAAGAGATAAATGAGCATCAGAACCAGATTCATATATGGCAGAGATTTTGGAATTATCAGACCCAGAAATTAAAATAACTATAATTAATAAGTTAAAGGCTCTAATGGAAAAAGTGGACAACATGGAAGAACAGTTGGATACTCTAAGCAGAGAGATGGAAACTCTAAGAATCAAAAGAAAATGCTGGAAATCAAAAACAATGTAAAAGAAATGAAGACTGTATTTGGTGGGCACATCAGTACAATGGACATGGCTGAGGAAAGAATCAATGAGCTTGAAGAAACTTATCAAACTGAAAGGCAAAGAGAAAAAAGAGTGAAAAGAAAAAAAGGAACAGAATATGCAAAACCTGTGAGATAATAGCCAAAGGTGTAAAATACACTTAATGGAAATACCAAAGAGAGAAGAAAGAGAGAAAGGAACAGAAGAAATATTTGAAGTAATAATGACTGAGAATTTACAATATTAATTGTGAACACCAAACCACAGATCCAGGAAGCTAAGAGAACATGCAGGATAAATACCAAAAAATCTTTATCTAGGCATAGCATATTAAATTTCACAAAACCAAGAAAAAGAGGATATCTTGAAAGAAGCCAGAGGAAAAGAAACACTTTACATGTTTCTATAGGAACAAGGATAAGAATTACATCAGAATTCGCTTTGGAAATCATATAAGCAAGAAGAGAGTGGAGTGAAATATTTAAAGTGTTGAAAGAAAAAACCTGACTAACTTAGACTTCAGTATCCAATGAAATTATCCTTCACAAGTGAAGGAGACATAAGGACTCTCTCAGACAAAGATTTGCTGCCAGTAGACCTACCTTGCAAGAAATGTTAAAAGAAGTTCTTCAGAGAGGAGGAAAATGATATAGGTCAGAAAGTTAGATTTACACAAAGAAAGGAAAAGCATTAGAGATGGAATACATGAAGATATTTTATTACTTTCAATTTTAGTACTTTTAATTTTAGTACTTTTAATTGATCTAACAGATAACAGTTTGTTCAAAATAATAATAGCAATAATGTATTGGATGAATATAGCTTTTGGATAAATGAGATGTATGACAGTAATGTAATAAGGAACAAGAGAGAGGAATTGAAAATACTCTTTTAAAGATACTTGCACTGTCTGGAGAAGTACTATAGTCTTATTTGAAAGTGGGCTTAGATTAGTTGTAAATGTTTATTGCGGACTCTAGGGCAACTCCTAAAAAATTTTTTTTAAGTATTATTGATATATCAAGAGAGGAAATAAAATGAAATCATATAAAATGCTCAATTAAAAATAGGAGAAAGCAGAAAAAGGGTGGAAGAGAGAAAAAGAAGCAAAGGCAATGAATAGAAAACAGTTACAAATATGGTGGATATTAATCCAACTATATCAAATAAATCTGCTGTGAATATTCATGCACAGCTTCTGTGTGAAAGACAGTTTTTCTTTCTCTAGGGTAAACACCAGGAGTAGGATTCCTGGGTCATATGGTAAGTGTATATTTAGCTTTATAAGAAACTGCCAAATTATTTTTCAGAGTACCTGTATCGTTTTACATTCCCACCAACAATGCATGAGAGATGAATTTTATCAGTTTGAGGAAGTTCTCTTCTATCTCTTGTCTGCTGAGATGCAAATGCCACACCCCGTGGGAAGGGGATAAAATGGGGTACCACCTCTGCTTGTGTTCTTGCAGGGAGGGAATGGTCAACAGGCTGCAACCCACTGACTGTGCAATACTGAGTGTGGAGGAGGCAGTGTGGGGCTTATTCCTGGATGTTTGCCTGGAGGAGAGTGAGTATAGTCAAAAAGACTGTTCTCCATGGTGTCTCTACTCCAAGTACTTTGTCTAGGGAGAATAGACCTTTCTTAAGGCTTTTAAAAGTCTGTGCCCATTGGAATTTCTGGATGTGGACTGCTCCAGCATCCAGGCTTATATATATAGGAGGGGAAAAAAAACCAGAGAACTCACCACTGGGTCATCCCTCGAGTTCTGTGATCTCTGGCCAGTCTACCTTCTTTTCTCCACCTTTCAGAATCACCTGATAGTTGCTTTATATATTTTATTCAGGGTTTCTAGTTGTAATTAGTGGGAGTAATAGGGTGGAATGTGCCTACTCTATCTTTCAGTGATCAAGGAGCTAGAATCTTAAAAGAATGAGAAGATTGACCTAGAAGTTGGCAGCTTGTTACGGAACACAAAAACAGGTTTGTTTGCATGTCTCACAGGAGAGCCAATAACTGGAATGCCAGGTCTTGTGGCAAGGAAAGAGGTTTATGATTGAAAGGCAGCCAGATGAGGAGATGGAGTTAAAACTCAGATCCACCTCCTTGACGGGAAAAAGGTAGGGGTTTTTAGCTGGTGTTTTAGGTGGGGGGGGGGGAGCATGTGGCCTTGCTGGTTGGCACCTTCCTGTCAGCTGGCA